CACATCAGATATTTGACTACTTTAAGCTAATTTTGGAGCATTAAGTCTAACTGATCAATGTTTTTAGATATATAAAATATTGTACAATCAAAACTTTCCTCACATTACTCATAAATGTTATTGAAAAAGAAAGGTTTATTTTAAAAATGTGATGTATTCAAATTTTGACGATTCTCTTTGTTAATATAGCTACCATTTAGGTCAGCCATGTCAAACTCAAAATATTAACTGGGCCAAATATATTAAATATTACACTATGCGGGCCGCACATACGTATTTATCGAATAAAAATATTATATTATAATAATATATAGTATTATATAATACTGGTTCATTTTTACTTGATTTATAAGCCATGCAAGTTGAGAAATGCGTTAAATCTTCATTTTGTAATTGTGTTTTCCATAAATTTAATTTACTTTTGAAAGCCTTGATATGGTAATTTATTGCTGTTATAACTTGATCTTTCCCTTGTAATTTTAAATTTAAATTTGACAAGTATATCAACTTATATCAACCATAAATAAAGGATAGGTCTTGTAGCCGTATTGGATCTGAAAAATTGGTGATATCTTGTTCTTTAGAATCTAAAAATATTTGTATATGATCTTTTAACTTCCAGAACCTTTCTAATACATTGGAGCATGATAACCATCGTACTTCTGTAGATAATACTTCATCAATTACAGCTTATGGCTGAAAAGATAAAATATAATAATATATACTAAATAAACCTTTCTCAAACAAAGTTCAAACAAAAAATGAAAATTTTATAATTTTTTTTTACTTTGTCCAATAAATAAATAAATATTGGCAGTTACGGGCTGCAAAAAAAAGGTCAGTGGGCCGCGTGTTTGACATGCCTGATTTCGGTAGACAATACTTAATGTTATATTTTACTTTGATATTGGCTATACTGTTTTTTTTATGATGCTAATAACTAAAATTATGAAGATGAATAACTTTTATTTTAATTGTTTTAATAGGTTATCTTTATATTTTTGTTTATTTAATTTTTAGAATACGATTGAGAGAAGGTTTCAAATTTGCACATTCATCTGCCGGTATCATAAACATGGTTTTAGAAGTAGACATGATAGAAGTTAGTATATTGTACACCATATTTTTATAACAAATTGCTATCAATTAAAATGACAAAACCATTTTATCAAACAATGTGGAATTTAAGGTGTAATTGCATACGCAATAGTATTTAAGTACAAAACGTTTTATAATGCATTTAGGTTGTTTTCTACAATTTATATAGTAATATATAAACATTAAATATTCACTTTCTTTTAAATTCAAATGAATTTTTTGTTCCAAGTTTTTGATTCCTAATATTTATTATATATTCACAAAGTTCATAATTTGTATATTAAATATAAATACTTGATTATTTTTTATAGTTATTGATACTACTACTACATTTACTATCAGTATCTTTTCATTTATACACCTATACTTGGTGCACGTTAAGATCATGACCAGTGGCGACTGGTCATGATCTTAATGCGCGCCAAGTATATAGTGTCAAATTAAATTAGTGAATACTTTTTATCAGTATGAATAAAAAATGTACATATTAATACTTAATATCATATCAAAATGATAACAAAATTAAATTTACTTTAAAGGGATTGGATGTGGTAATTGTATATCTTTGCCTAACATATGTGGAACATGGACATTTAGACAAGTTTTCAATTCCATTGATCTAATGATTTATTACAATAATTAAATTTAAATTCTAAAAAGCATTAAGATTTGAATTTTTTGTCAAGTCAACTTGATATCAACTTTCCTAAAATTTTAATTTTTAATTTCCTTTTTTAGTATGATCTGTTTTAAGATTTAGGCAGATAAAATCATTAATGCAGGGAAGTCAATCTCAAATAGACATGTTGGAATTAAAACATGTTTAAATTCCTATGTTCCGCTTGTGTTGGACAGATATAGAAAACCACCATATCAAATTCCATTTATTTTAACAAAAAACAATTTTTATGTTTAAAAATCTAATATTTTCTTCCTTAGATAATAATAAAATATTAATTCAACTGAATTTATTAAAATAAAAAATATACATAACTATTAAGTTAAAATATGTATAGTTGATAATTAGGTTATTAAAATAAATACCCAATACTTGATAATTTATGATCAAATTTAAACAACATATTTTTTAATAAATAATTTTTAGCAATCTAATTATAATGTAGCAACCTTATAAAGCATAATTAATTAAGTAAATATTTAAAAATAAAATAAGTTATTATTTAAGAAATAAATGATTAATATTATATTCTAGGGATCACCCCACTGTCCTAGTACGCCCACAAGTCATTGTGTCATTCAGTATGTTTTATTTCCGCCTAACAAGATACAAAAACAGCAACAAAAAACTTATGAATATAATAGTGTTTTTGATCAATTCAACATGGAAAATAATGACCTTGAAAGGTCATCAATTTTGTCAATTGATGAGCAGCAAAAGTCTGAAAAACGTCAAAAACAAGGAAAGCATATAGTTTCTTTTGCCAGTGATACTAATGATTGTTGTTTAAAACATAGTACGGAAGACGAATATCAATTAATAACAGAATGTTGGATCGAGCCACAACATGGAACAGTGGTAGTAAATAAAAAACAAAATTATAATTATATGTCGGGATTGATGTACGAACAATTAGCAGATGCGGTGAGTAGATAATAATTGTTTATTTAATTATATATATATTTATTTATTTTAAGACGCATGGATAGATATTTACAAACTATTATTTGTAGATAATTTATAATAAAATGTTACAGTTAAGTCTCAATAACTTGAATCTCAAGGAAGGATAAAAAATATATAATCTTAATTGTAATTTTTTAATTTATATACCTCAAATAAAACTTATAAAACACTTCAAGGGGCATGTAAAACATTTTGCGAGCTATTAGGGTTTTTAAGATATTGAGGTTTGATTTATCGTAAGTCGACTGTATAACTTATTGTTTTGCATTTAAGAAGCCACCACAAAGCAGTGATAATTTTAATAATTTTAAAAGTTATTTGAATCTTTACATGACGTGAGCTGTGGGAATGATGTAATGCAGTTTAAAATATGAAATTTTAGTGCCTTTAAAATAAAATGTGTGTACTGAACATCTTTTTACTTTTTTTATTCTAACCTTGCTGGCAAAAATCACTACTACCTTCAATAAGTCTCCATCTCTCTATTATTAGTCAACTTATAGGTCACATTCTGGTTTATTGCCTCAGAGATCTTTGGCAATACTGTCAATCTACTGAGTCCTAAGTTTATTTGAAAATATATAAATAGTTTCTACAAATCTTCTGCTTATTTTGTCTTCAAATACTTTTTTTTAGTTGGCCATCTGCTCTCCAAGGGTGTCCAAGCCATTAGCAGCTTATACTCTAGGATGTTTGGTCTGTTGAGCAAAATTTATTTTTCAGTTAAGGCGTGGCCTATAAAATATATTCAGGATTAAATAATGACTAAGTCATAGTTGTAATTTTTCTCATCACATTTTGTTACTGACCATGTCTATGTCTCATTTGTATATATTTCTATTGGTCACATGTAGCAGTATTTTAGGTGTATTTTTGATGTCCATAATAGTAATTTTGAAATTGATTATTTTAATCAAATCAGTACATAATTTATAGATAAATTAGTCAGTAATATAATAATATGTAATATAAGTTATAAAAATATCATAATTAAGGCTATGGAAAAATTAAAAACAATAAATTTCAAGTTAGGTAGGTTGTACACATGTATGTGAACAAAATCCATATTGTGTCTATTATTGAAATATGCATCATCCACAATAATTCTTTTTTCGATATTAAGAATGAAAAACCATTTAGTCTGTATTCTTTCAGTACCGTTAAATAGTAAATATCTAATTTTAGTACTAAATAGTTCACCATAGAATTATAGGTATAATATTATACATTAATACACATCAAACTCTTCTTCTTCTTCTAGTTCTCTTTTCGCTCCTGAATTCATGGGGTCGGCCACCCATGTCCTACAACTTCATAGGGCTCTACTCCCCCACCAGGGCTTGATTTACGCATTTTGGGGCTACTGTCAACAGTCCATATCTTTACCCCCCTTCCACACATGAGTTGTATAAAACAAATTAATAATTACAATTTACTTCACTTGACTACATGAAATGTTTAAATTAGTTGACTGCTCTCCTTCCTCATCATAAAGTTATTCTGGATACCTACTAGCTACCTATCCAACTCTAAATTTTCACTAACAAAATTACAATGCTAAACATTTTTAATCCTCTTAAATACAGAAAATGATAAAAATATCCTTAAAATAGTTTTGATTTCTAATTTTTTAATTTTAAAATTTTTTTTATAAATGTCATAACATTTTTTTGTTGGTTCAAATCTTGAAAATTTAATACAAGCTTCATTATATATATTTGTAAAGGGTGGAGTCGTCACCTATGGCCACGTTAAGCATTTTTTTTGTGAATATATTGTACTAATTTTAGTTATGAACATGGAAAAATCTTGAAATTCAAACCAAGTATACTTTATAACATGACTTATACTTAGTTAAAGTTTCAAGCCTCTGTATGTTATACTTAGGAAGAATTTTTAATTTCTCATTTTCCCCTACTATGGCCAGATCAACTCCAACTATGGCCATAATATTTTTAATTTATTTATTTTTAAAAAACTTATCCAAGTACCAAATGTAGTAACTAATAATATATATTAGTAAAATATTAAATACAGAACATTATGAGAGAAACACAAACAGTTTATTATGATTTAAAATAGAATAATAACATAGTACACAACAAAAACAGCCTATTTAACAAAGTACAATTTGTATAAAAATGTAAAAAAATAATAATAACTGTCATATTAAATAAAAACTGATCCCTGCTTAGGATATATAACACTAGTTAGGTTATAATAAAAATATAAGTAAAACTTAATGAAACATTGTATATAATAAAAATTAAAGTAAATAACTTTCTGGAAATAATTAAATCACACTTGTTGATTTTTGGTTATAGGTTAGAATGTAGGAAAACATAATATAACAGTCTTTTAAATAAAAATTGATCCCTGCCTAAGATATAATAAAACAAAAACCTAGTTGGGTTATAATAAAAATATAAATAAAACTTAATGAAACATTGTACCTAATAAAAATTAAAGTAAATAACTTTCTGGTAATAATTAAATAGGTAATAAGTAAATCACATTGTTGACTTTTGATTAGAGTGTAGGAATATATATTAAGTCTTAATATCTACTTTTTTCAAACACATCAACTATACCTGGAAACACTGAAATAAGATGTCTATTTTTAAGACGAAGTTCTGGAGATGGTAATTTGTACAATATGTTGGTGAAGTCAACTATTGATACACCATTTTCAATAGGTACAAACTCAGTGTTTTCCTCTTTATTTGCTTCAAAACATTGCACTTCATATTCACTTTGGCTAATTATATTAACTACTGTGGCAACATATTTGTATTTCAGTTTCTTTTTTCCAATTGGGGAAAGACCTTGAAGATGCATAGACATAATTTTTTTTATATAAATTCAAAATGCAAATTTTGACTTTACTTATCAAACTTTACAAATTTTTCAAATTGTATTGCTAAGGATTGAAAATTTAAAATCAAGGTTTCTCATAAGTAGTTCATACTGTAATCAAACCTATAAAAAAAAAGAACACAGTTATTTTTGTATAGATATTTTATATTCAAACCTTTACTAAATTATTTATTTAAATAAAGAATAATAATTTTAGTTATTTTGCTGTAGTTTTAAAATATTATTTGTGGGTACTAGACATTTTTAAAGTATATATAGTATTATATTAAATACACACAATGCCATTTTCTTGGCAAAAATTAATTCATTAATGTCTAATAGTAAATTAAATCACTTTCATAGTAATTATATTGTAAAATATTCTTAGTAATATAGGCTGACATAATGTAGATCAGACCTTTACTCAAAATCATTTCTTGTGTTCAATAATTGTATATCAATTCAAATTTAATACATCCACTACAGTGACCCATCTGGACACCTACTGTACAGCAGAGTGGTACCCACATGCCCACATTTATATTAGTTAATAACTTCTAAAACATTCACATAATATATTAGGTATCTATCTTGAAATAAGTTTATTGTTAAAAGCACTGATTAATCAAGATTAATTGATTTACTATAAATTGTAAGTATCAAAACTATTTAAACCATAGGATACTTTTGTGAAATATTGTTATAATTTACATTTTGACTATTTACTGTTCAAAATATATTACTCTTTCAAAAATTTAGCATGGTTATGAATGTATTATGTGTATTATACATGGGCAGTAATAGCAGAAAATAAATTGAATCATTTGACACTTTTTGTTTAATGAATATTATAACCTATACCGTTACAACATTATTATTTATCTATAGATTTACATGTACTGGGATAAAATATTATAAGTGTTTTGTAAGTATTCTTTGAGTGTCCAAGACATTTAGACATAGGTAGATAATATATATTGAGTCATAGATAATATGAAAAATATAGTTATAACTCGTATAGAAGTGGGGAAATAGTATAAGTAAACAAATATATTGTTTTGAGGATTTTCAAGTCAGTTCATAGGTTTTATATGGTTGTTGATTAAGTTATTAAATACAATATCTAAGTTCTACCTATATAAATGCGTTAATATGCAGGATAAAAAAAAAATACAGGCAAGGGTTCTAATCACTAAAAGGGAATTAACATAAATCGATAATAGCAGTAACTACCGTCCTCTGTAGTTAGATGGATGTATATAATATGTATATTTTGTCTGATATTAATATTTTGAAATAGATTAAAATAAGCTTTATAATAGTACGAAAGAGGAAGGAAGACGTGTTGTATTATTTCAATATCTAATCCACTTTATTTTTTTTGTCATCATCGCGTTATTATCTCAGTAACTAAACAAATAAACAAATATTTATTTATTGATAACAATACCGGGTTTTCGACCCTCCTACTAAGGTGCGTTATTGGATAAAAAAAACTGCTTGTTTGCTGTGTATAAACTCCGTCATTGTCGACGCACGTGTTAAAATATTTATCACGTATAGATAATACGTGAAAAAAAAATTGAAACTATTTATTATTACACTGACGAAATAATTCTAAAATATGATTATCATAGTAATATATCTTACATACATTATTTGTTTTAATATTTGTACGTGTGGGTGATTATATATTAATATATACATATGTGTGTTATATAAAAAGCTTTACATTTTAAGTTTTACATTTTACAGTTTAATCATTGGTAACATTGTTATAGATCAGAAATGGCGAACCTATGACACGCATGTCACAGAGTGACATTCGCACACTATTTAAGTGACACACACGAATGTGTAAGTTTGATAATATTAAAGTTTTTGAAAAAAAAATTGAAGGGTTATCGAACTAGTTGACACGCAGGAAAAATAGATTTCAACCAACATTTTTATTTGACACGCTGGAACAAAAAGGTTCGCCATCCCTGTTATAGATGAACTTCCTTATTCTTTTACCCATCTCGTTAATGATCTCTTCGGTGGTTAAAGGCAATTAAGCATAATACGGTATACTGACAAAATGTTCTTTCCGTATTCAATCTGTTTGATATGGTATGTGGGTTTGCGGTTGTGTACTATGTATGTAATATTATTATACTTTTCAAGTCCAAATGTATTGTCATTGATGAAAGTAAAACAAATCAATTAAGTGGATGTTACACCCGTATGTGTTGTATCTGTCTTACAAAGTACAACATACCAAAAACTGTTTAGCGCGAGATGGAACCACTCAGTCGGTGGTCCTAAATCCTAATAGACACCAAAAGCTTATGCAACATAAAATATAATATTTTCTATGTCGTAGTGTTTTTATTTGCTAGAAAAAAGTTATAATACTTTTAAAAATCTGAAATGTTTACGTTTTCCAAACTTAAATAACTTTTATGTATTGGTCCTATACTCCTATCGAAAAAATAAAACTACGATACAGTTAAAATTCTCTTCTATTCATGGTGAACATTTCTTAGTTATAACTTATAACCATAGCCTTCTCGGTTCTTTCCCCCTCGAAACAGTTTTTATTATGGTTTACATTTGTAACATTTGTTGACGAAGACAACACGCCATGTAGGTGTAGCGTTCTCTTAAACAATAATAATATTACAATTAATACAAGCATGTGTTGTCCCTATAATAGAAACTCATAAAATAGCAATTATTAATTATTATGTTCAGAATAATCTATTTTACTTTGTTTTTTCAGTATGAGACTGAAATTACATATAATAAAAATTAAATGTGAGAAAGTCGTTTTCATATTTCAATTTTGAAGCATGATATAAGCATATTATGAGAATTTGAAAATGTACGATTGTTTAACAGCTTCCGTGTTGTGAAGTTACATCGTATTCAATCGGGTGGACACTAATAGACCTACACTAACCTATAGACTATTTATATACAACCGAAAATAACATTTTAAAGAAGTAATAGTAGTGAACCACCATAATATTCAGGTATTTTCATATTTTTATACACCTTTGAAAAAAAAAACTAAAGAGTAGAAAGCCAGAAATCCTCTGTGTATACAATATACATCACTGTATACTTAGGTGCAGTGGGGTATTAACGGTGAAGGGTCCATGACTATCCCCACCCTTAGCATTTGATGGATTTATAACAATGTTAAATTTTGTATTTTAACAGAATTAAAAAATACATTTTTATTTCATAATACATTGCCACAGTTAATAATATAGGGATCGAAATATCCGCGGAAACTAACATTTAATTTTTGACGATAAAAAAATTGAAAATTGAATAAAAGGTCCTTTTATTGTTGTTGTCATTAGTGTAACTTAAAAAAAATTGAGCTAAATTCTGAAAAATTTTTTATGAAATTCAAATACTGTAAAATTTCTTCAAAATCGCGAACATTTATGAATTATTTTGAGTTAGATATTCTTAAGAAAAATTCTTTTATATTTCAAATCTGAAAAGTTAATATAAAATTCCTCAGAAGTTTTATTACAAAAAAAAGTATTCTAGAAAGTAAAATTAATTTTTTATAAGCGTTTGAAATTTTTCGACAAAAATTATTCACCAGTAAACTAAACATTTTCTCATGGGATGATTTTCTTATTATGTTGTAATTATTAAAAAACAAATAACCGTAACTAATTGCATTTTATATTTATTTTATTTCTTTCTATACATAATACTACTATCGAAATATTTTTACTTGTGTTTGGCTATTTATAGACATTTTCAATTTTCTTGTTCTATAAATGTTAAATACATTTATTTTTGTTCGGTCGAACTTCTTTAAAATTGAATACAAGATTGAGAAGGTTCTTCATACGTTATTATAATAGCTGTTGAAAATATTAAAGATATTATAAATAAATAATTTTTACAAAAAGGATTAAAAAATATTTTCTCTTTTCAAGCTATTTTTGGACATATTCAATTGTTTTTAAATTTTTTTCTATAAATATGGGTACACCGATATCACTCTGTTAAATATTTGTTTTATACTTCATTATAAATTTATAAAATTTTCAATTTTTATAGCTAAGGATTAAAAATTAAGCACAAAGTTTTTCATAATTAACTAATATGGTAACCAACAATTTAAAAAATATATTAACACAGTTTTTTATCAACATTTTAAGTTCAAAGTTCAACAAAGGCTTATTAAAACAAATACTATATTTTTATTTTTATTCCTAAATTAACTGAAAATTCCTGCATTATAATATAGTTCCATATTATTATCTTCAATTTTTAATCTAAAAGTTTGGTACTTGTTGATAATATTTTTAATATTTTAAGTACCAGTTTGATATTTTTATTTTAAAAATCCGTAAATTTAAAATCGTCTCTCCTGACCCACAAGTGTTAATATTTTAGATTCTGGGAGGAGTAATGAATGTATTGAATATTGATTTTACAATGATGTTTATTTTTTATTTTTGCGTCTGTCATCGCGGTTTGAAGCTGTACAATTGCTTCGATTTTCTTCAACAGCAACTTTTCTGGTAGAAAATCTAGTTGGTGCTTTCGGAAAATCAAAATTAGAATTACGCAATCATTTTCAAAATTGACAGGAATAACAAACAAAAAATTAAGGAAAAACGGGAATTCGAAAATTCTGAATTGGAATTGAGAAAATCGAAAATATATTATGGCTATAAATAGTGTTACTTTCCCGTAAACTTTTTTTGTACGATAAAGGTTGGAAACTTGTTGGGAATCTTCTATTAACATTTCTAAAGTTACTTATGAAAAGAAAAACTTTTATGAAGTTCTAACTGAAAAAGAATTAGAACAATTTAACATAGCTATCAGGAACACTATAAAAGAGTCAAAATATTTTTTAAATTCTACTATTTATGGAAAATTCTAATATAAATATTTTGTGAACATTTTGAGCGTCTATACCGTTATTAGTTTTTGAGTTATACCAAAAATATAAAATCTATTTTTTCAAAAATAATTAGTAATAACATTTTTTTTTTGTTTTTCTCGACGTTTTTTAAAACTACCGGTAACTTAAATATATTTCTGAAGGAATATTGACAGTAATAGTAATTTAATAAAACTATTATATATTATAATATATAGTAGTATTAATTGATCAATTCCCGTTCGAAATTGGCAATCAAAATGTACTCAAAACTATCTATTCAAAAACTAAGCATATATACATGTTATTTAACGATTATAAATATATCAACATTTGCATGGTTAAATTATTTTTTCATATTTATAAAAATAATAATACCTATATGAAACAGGTTTGTAACAAAATGAGCATTACTAGAATACACTGACGAGAATTGAGAAGCCAACCTTAAAACTATTAGTATACATTTTACCATTTAGATTAGATGATTGTAAATAAGAATTAAGTTCTACTCTCAAGATATTCATAAAAATATATTTCTAAGTACTTGGGTACCTACTATATTATGACTAAACTGAATAACAAATACACGGCGCATGATTATGTTGATAAAAGGTAAAAAATTAAATTAAACGTAAAAACTTTTTTTAAGTAGTAATAGAAATGCTATAAAGCACTAAAATAACTGAGTTATTCTATTATGTTTCATATTCAATTAAATTTATTATTCTTTAAGAAAAACACTTGAAAAACGATAAGTAATTAATAATTATAACACCTAATTGTTTGATGATTGATAACTTTGCCAATCAATTTTTAAAAAATAACTGTATTAAAATTAAAAATGTATGTCAATTTGAATTTTGTATAAATCTATATACAGGCTATAACTATTGTATGCACGCATGTTATAAATAATATTGGTTAAAAATTAAGTTTTTAAGATCAATATACCCACTTAGAAAAAAACCCATCTAGCGGCTTGACTAACTAAATAAGCGTTCTGTGTGAATTAAAAAAATCTATGTGTATGTAACTACTAACTATATTACTGTCAAAGTATGTACGTACGGTACTTTTTGCAATATCTTGGTACGCTTAAATTATAACAAGTTAAAATATTCATCCCGCGATAAGATTATAGAAAATTACATTAGAATTATGTAATATTATAAGTATAAAAAATATTTGGTGTTAATATAGATACTATTAAATGGAGATACTTGTTTATAATATTTTAAAATATAGTAAATAAGTAGATATAAAATAGTACTACCAAGTGTCCTAGTTAACTTTTTCAAGTCCTGTTAAAAAACATAGAACTGTCACCAAGCCTCCCACATCAATTTTTGGGCACCTGTAATAAATGTTTTTGCGAGCCTCATAAATTATTATTCAATATAAAACCAGTATTCTTATTAAAGTTTCAAAATGTCAAACATAACAAATTCATTTCAACATGTCCCTGTACTCCAGGTCCAACAGCCCTCCCCTTATGGGGGCTCTAACTATGACAACTTATTACTTATTATTCAAAATATGTTGACTATACATGTTTATTAACATTTAATATTAAATATTTTTTTTTGTTTCTTTAAACATTTTGTCTCTCGGGAAAAAAACATGGAAAATAAATACTAAAGCTCCTCATTATAGTTGTTTTTAAAGGTACAACAGTTAAATTTCAAAATCACGTAGCCTATTTTTTTAATAATCGTGTTTGAAATTCAAAGTTTGAAAAATTGGAAAATTAAACTAAAACTAATGATTTTTTCTCAATCAATTTTTAGTAAATATGTTTTAATTCATTTGAAACATTATTCGTATAGACTTTCAAAATATTATAATATTAATTTAAATATTTTAATAGTTATTGTTATTTTTTATACACAGCATAAGTACAATATTAAAGATTTAAGCCTTATTTGATAATGGGTGCAATGATTGCATTAACACATCGATTACAATGACCAAATCAATATTATATTTAATACCATGGTATAATACATAATACATGCTAAATAATTTAGATAAATATAATAAAAATGAAATGTGTTTTGTCTTTACCTTGTTGTTTAGTAGATGGTCCATTTTTAAATTTGAACATAAATAATCAATAATAAATAGTTAACATAAAAAAAGTTTATATAATTTGATGTATAAAAATATTTATTGATGATTGGTTAGTGAATAATGAAAATATAAAATTTAAATCTTTAAGAATCACTCGAGTTAGTTATATTGTAGACAAATATATTAGGTAACAATGAAATTTAATGTCAAGAAAAATTTAGTTTATGTATAGAATTAGATATTAGAAAAAAATTAATGTTTTGGATTTGAGTGAGATCAATGTTAATAATATTATCATTGTTATGATTTGTATTTCGAGTTCATATAACTCCATCTGAGATGTATTTGTATTATTTCGCACAAATCATAAACATAAGAATCAACACCATTTCCTATATTTTTTTCTTTTTTGAAGTTTACATGCATACACAAGTAATTTTGTTTTGTGTTTGTTGAAAAAAAATTAATTAACTTTAAAACTAATCTCGAGATTGTACTCAATTTGTATAAACATTGGACATTAATATATATTATATCAAATTTAAAATATTGACGTATGCACAAACCACAGTGATATGTTATAATATTAGTTGAATGCACTTAATTATTTTCTTCTATTACTGTTAATATTTTTGTTTTAAATAGTTCGTTGTCGCCATCGTTTTGATCATGGTTCATGATCTATCTGTGGCCATAGTGTCTTTCAGACCAATTCAAACATGCAATTCGAATGTGCACAAATACACAGCATATAGTAGTATACGCATATAGTAATAGAACGTACTAAGTAAGATACGTATCAATACGATCATATTATTATTACACGATTAATTTATGCGATGTGTATGCAAAACGAGTGTGTTTCGTTTAAGGCACGCGCTAAGTACTCGTGAAACGTGATCGTAGCCGAATCTTTTCGTGTTCGTGGAATTTCTGTGTATCGTCGTCTCGTCGTTTACGACTTGCCATAGTTCTGATCGTGTAATATTATTATATTATATTATTTGTTCTTTTGTCGAGTGTTATACCTAAATTTCGTCATAATTTGTTTATTCTCCATCAAAGTATTACAATCGCTATCTGTTATTTAGTATAAGGTTTTATATTTTTTATTATACGGCTCTATACATTTCGTTATACGCTTTCGTCTACCCTAGCCTTACCTCTGTATCTAAACGCAACCACTCGAAAGATAACGCTCAGGCACTTACTTAAATATAGCTCTTAGTCAACCGGTGTGTGTGTTTTTTATTTGTTGGTACGTTATCTCTTGTTTGAGCTTGGCTCTTGAAACGGCACACTCGCGGTATAAAAACCTCACGCCGGTCGGTTGTAGATTCATAGCGCATTTGGTGTCGGATCGTCACACATCAATCATAGTGTTCAGTACTTTTTTTTTCGTTTAGATATTTTGCTTTTAGAACGAGTCTTATTTTCAAGTGAAAGTGTTAGTTTTTTTTTATAGTGTGTAAATTGTTTCCGTTTGTTTCTCGTTCGTTTGTTGCAACAACACTTCATGTGGGTTAACAACCGTTTGTCCAATCAGTTGGAAGTTTGGATCAAGGCATGTTTTATGTTTTTACGTTTGGTATAAAATAGAAAATTGTCTTTTGAATATCATACTGTGCCAGATCTAACTCTTCCAGCTGATTGGACTCGGTGCATTTCGACTCTTTAGTATTAATTAAAATGTGAGGTTTTTTTTCGTATTATCAGCCACAAATTTGACTTTCTCTTTGTTTTATTTTTGTTTTATTCATTTTACTATAAACATTTATGTATAATATATTTTGTGTATTTTATATTAATAATAATTTATATAAAATAGGTACATTTTAATATCTGTATAAACCGTATACACGGTTCTTACTTAATTGTTTTATTCACATTTTATTTTTTAATTATTTCACATTACATTTCAACTCGGTGAATATTTTGTTTGTACATATTTGTATTTTACATTTGTTAATTATTTGTTAATATTTTCATCCTTCAACTTTAAAATAATTAAAATATCTTATTAAATTCATTTAATTTCCTAAAACAGTTATTTTCTTAGAACATTTTTTTTAACGTAAATAAAAAATAAATTATAAAACACTTAGTACCCTCTAAATTATTTTAATTTTATATCAAAATTCTCATATTTTAAGTATAATAATCAATAACAAAACTTGAGTACATTCTAAAAATTTGATGTAAATGAATTAGTAATAATTAAAAATAAAATTGAATTCACAGCTAAGAGTAAAAAAAAATATTTATAGAGCCATTGTACGTATTTAAATCTAATCACATTTCATATCATACAGGTAGTGAGATTTTTGTAAAAATTACATATATTTTGATAGTTTTTGTACACATTTCATTTCTGCAAAAATTGGCCTGAAGTCATTATAATATATACATCTAGATCAGGCCAAGGTCATTCAAGCTTATTTTTTCACTATTTCTCACTGATAATTGAATTATTTTGTTTCTTCTTATTGTTAGCTAGTCGTTAATGAAATGTGTACCTATCTCAATAATAACATAACTTTTCTGAGATTGTAAAATATTTTTAAATTAGTAATAGCAGCGGCGGCCTTAATTATATATATATGTATTCATACATATTATATACAGAACATGTGAATTCATGAATTAAGTGGAGAAGTAGTCTGTTCACTATATTTATTAAATATAATAAAATATTTTGCAAATACGCACAAAGTGAGATTCAACTCCTCCAACTTAATTCAGTCACTACGCACTACGAAGATCTTCAGAAATGGCCGCTGCTAAACTAGTACTTAGTGTAAATTATAACTTGTATCAAAATGTATTGCAATTCATATAATTTAGTTTGTCTAACTATAGTTTATATTATTTGAGTCATAAACGTTAGTTTTTTACAATATTATCTAAAATTGTAAAGTTGTATCAACATTTAAAACTATTTATTTCCTTGTTATCAAATGGATTTATTTAAAATATTGTGGACTAATGTTACTAAATGTACAAAGATATTATGAGTATCTCATTATTTAAATAAATGTATGTTTACTTATATTGAGTACTTGAATAATTTAATAAATAGTCCAAGTCACGGTATTATCCTTCCATTCATCTTTTCGGTATGAACAATAATGTTAATAAAAATATATATTTTATGGAATTTTCAAATATATATTGAATTACATTCATAAACATAATTCATTAAAGGTGGTTTAAAAAGTGTATTCACTTAATTTATAATAAATTATATAACAAATCTATTAATATATTTGAATATGTATATTTTTATGGAAACAGCAATTGTGTGAAAAATAATAATGTATGTATAAAATATAAATGTTATTTATCTATTAAATTAATAAATGTAGGTACATGTCCTATTATATAGATATAAATATACAATAGATCAGCCAATATTACTATTTACTTTTAATAATACATAAATAATAACAAAAAAACTTAAAATAAAATATAATATATAAAATAAAAATTAAATAGAATTATTAAATAAAAACAAAGACTATATGTGCACCAGTTATTGTTAGGAGATTGGTAGGGGAAGTTTATATATCATTTTTACTTGAAACTAATGGATAAAATGGTTTCAAATTTTTAGTATTGAAGCAATTAACTTAAAAACAAATTAAGGACATCATTTCAAGAAAATCGATAAAGCAGTCATGCCCTCAGACATGTAGCTCACTAAGTGCAAAATATTTTTAGTGTCAATATAAGCCACTTTTTATTTATTAGTTCTAGTAAAAATGTATTTTCTTGTTTTCATTAATATATAAATAATCATTGCAAACCAATGCGACCGCCTATAACTCAATCCAAACTTTTCAATAATGCTTTCTAATTGTTGTTCAAAATATTTCTTATTTTTGTACTTTTGTCAATGAATATTGATCAGACCTTTCATTTCTCATTCTGTGCCCAGCCATGTCTTTAGACAACGTAATGTGCTAAAAATATAATGACCAATTATATTGTTAGATTAATATACCGAATGAAAAAAATTAGAAATATAATGTAGAAAATATTACCTAAAAGATCTTTCTACCGAACATGAACTTGCAGGTAAAGTAATGGCAATTTGTGTAGCCATATATACATGCTGCTGGGTAAAATGTTTCATAACCAAAAATATCAATCAGTTCCATGTCATTTTTGATTGGTTTATCTTGCCATAATTTAAACCACGATAAGGCTTGTTCTTCAAAGTTGTCTAGAAGAGATCCATACACTTGACTAATAACTTCAAGTGTCTGTATAAATGCTTGTCAATCTATATACTTAATTTTTTGAGATGTAGGTCAAATAATGCAAATCTTTTTAATTTTTCATCAGAAAATCAATATTTTATAGATACAATAATTATAACGATATATTTAATAATTAAAGATTATCTAAAATAGTCCAGTCCTGTACATTATTAGTTGATTAATTTTCGCGATGTGTCTGTCTTGGGTTTCGTTGTTTTAGAGTCAACTCTATATCTATTTTGGATGCAATTTCTATTGCTTTTTTAAATATTGTACTAAATTGAGTCTTACAGTTATTACAATCTTTTTCTAACATTGATAAGAGGTCTTGAATGTGTCTAGTACCTTGTGACGAAACAACATTAATTAATTAATAGTATTATTAGTAGGGCTCGGATTTATATGTAAATACATATTTTTACTGTGACTTGATAAATTAATTTAGGTAAGTGATAAATTTGTTTCAAGGGATTTCCAATAAAATGAACTATATTTTATTTTACATATTTTTACATATTTTGCCATAAGTACATGTTTTTACATATTTCTCAATAATTCCATTTTTCCTACATATTTCGACAATTTGTTCATTTACGATTTATTATTTATTAATACAGACTTGCCCATGTTTCCAAAAGTACAAAATAATACCAATTTTTAAACTTAATCTAATCTACTGTCGATATATGTTTGATATTTATGACCTCATAAAGATAATGACAAGTTTTGACAGTCCTATAACATCAGCCGAAGTTGAGAGATCTTTCAGTCGATATAAATCAATTTTACGACATAATCGGCGATCTTTCGAATTCGAAAATTTAAAAATGCATGTTATTATTAATTGTAACCATAATAATTAGATAGTTAGATAAATATTTTTTTTTATTACATTTCATTTTAATTAATAAAAATATTTTTTTTTTTTTTGACAATACATATTATACATTTTTTAGCACATATTTATGTACATATTTTTGTTGTATAAATACATACTTTGGTTAAATAAATACATATAAATCCGAGCCCTAATTATTAGTATTTAGTAGTATACTGAGTTAATTTAATGTATAACACCAAGTAAATAAATCGTTTTTTTTAACTTATCTTTTGGCGTATGATATAATAGTATTAATTTTAAGACAACCAAAATTGTATTTGACCGGAAAAATAATTCACTGAACCTGTTTCCATAAATTTATTTGTTAACCCAGAGAAATGGCATTCCTAACTATACTAATGTTATGACATAATTTTATCAGAAAACTATTTTACCTATAATGACTGTATTAAACTTTTATCGAAGGTAATAAAACGACCAATAATACTAATTCTTAGAAAACAAATATTAAAGAAATTGAAAATATATATAAAATTTTTTTTGTAATTTTAATACTAGGTCCATTTAACTGAAGTAACATTTGACTAATTTTCTTAGTCTTTTTTTGATGTATAAATCTTGAATTGTAAACATATAATAGTATTTTATTAATGAGTATTTATGGTTTAGATGAGTAGAATAAAATTGGCAAGGGGCTTTAAATAACTTAAGGACATTTTGTTTAAAAATCAAAATAATTGACTTGTAAAAATAGTAAAATTAGTAGTAAATATATCATGGCTTGAACTCCAAGGATATAAATATATTATGTGATAGGTACGCCAATATAAATTAATACCCAAGATATGACACAAACACCATAATTATGAAGAAAAAAATCATTTGCACTAATATTAATATTTTGAAATATTTTTGCGAAAATAAAAAAAATTCCTATTTTAATGTACCTATGTGTACACTATTTTACACTAGTACTATGAATTGTTAATAAGTAAATTATAATGAAGCGTACAACATAGCAAAATTTGTGTTCAGCAGTTTCAATTTTATACAGTAATATTAATAATGCAGTTATCTATTAGTGAACATGAAGATAAAAATATTATTCAGGTTTCCTTAAAGGTTTTTTTTATGTTTTAATTTTTAATCAAGTTAAGAGAAAGGGTTTTTAAATTGTAATTTTCACAAGCTCATAATTTGTTAAAAAAATTAAATGTTGGATACATTTGTTGGTTAAGATCCTAAATTTGGCTATTTTGAATGATACAATTTTGCTGTGAAGTATATTGATTTTTAGTTGTTTTTCTTTCATACTTTGATTAACAGTAAAAACTAAAAATTCCCTAAATAAATTATTAACTAGAAATATTTTAAATCTATGAATACAACTTCAAACTGCTACAGAAAAAACATATTACAAAGAAATGGATACACCAGTAATCTGTTACAACTATTTATAATTAAAAATAGTACAGCCCAATTGAATATTAATGTTTTATTTTAATAATTAATCTTGTACCTATTTCAATTAAAATTGGCTTAATTATTTAGTTGATACAAATCAAAATATGAATTCTTAGTAATTAAAAATATACATAAAATTAATTTTTATTATATATTATGCAAAATACATTTTATTATGTAATTATTAAATGAATTACTAGGTAGTTTGAATAAAGTTATCTTTGAGTATACTTGTAAAAACCATTTAATATTTATCATTATAGGTATTTTTAAGCATTAAATTCCTTGTTTATATTTTTATTAAAAAAACTATTAATAGTCTTATATTTTAATTATTAGCTGTGGCAAGTTGACTCCGATTGCATTGGCTCGCTATTTACAT